TCCCCCGAGATGGAACAAGTTCTCCCCCGCCTCCTCCGCCAAACCCGCTTCCCACCCCCGCAACCCCTCCTCCGCCACGTCATCACCCTCTACGCACGCGCCCGCCTCCCCTCACGCGCCATCCGCACCTTCCTCTCCATCCCTTCCCCCTCCCTCCGCTCCTTCAACTCCCTCCTCCACGCGCTCCTCTCCTGCCGCGACTTCCCCTCCCTCACGCGCCTCCTCCCGCGCCTCTCCCGCTTCGGCCCCCCCGACGCCTCCACCTTCAACATCCTCCTCCACGCCTGCGCCCTCACCAACGACCTCCCACGTGCCGCCTCCCTCCTCCGCCGCATGCGCACGTGCGGCGTTCGCCCCGACCAAATCACGTTCGGGACCTTCATCAACGTTCTCTGCAAGCACGCCAGATTGGACGAGGCTTTCCGAGTGAAGGAGGAGATGGAGAGGGTTTTCGATTTGAAGCCTAATGTTTTCGTTTACACCGATTTGATCAAAGCGGTTTGCGGGGTTGGGGACTTCGATTGCGCGCTTCGGATGAAGGATGAGATGGTGAGGAACGGTTTGAGGCTTGATGCTGTTGTCTACAACACTCTGATTTCCGCGCTTTTCAAAGCGGGGAAGAAGGGTTTAGGGTTTAGGGTTTTGGAGGAGATGAGGAGTGGTGGTGGGAAGCCGGATTCGGTGACGTGTAATGTGTTGATTGGGGAGTATTGTAGGGAGGGGGAGATTGATGAGGCTTTTAGGGTTTTGGATGAAGGGGTGGAGGGTGTGAAGCCTGATGTTGTTGGATTCAATGTGGTTATTGGTTGGCTGTGTAAAGAGGGGAAGTGGAGGGAGGCAGAGGATTTGTTTCGGGACATGCCGCGGCGGCGGTGTGTTCCCGATGTGGTGACTTACCGGACGATGTTCGACGGGCTTTGCCGGTGGATGCAGCTTGAGGAAGCTGGGTTGGTTTTGGAGGAGATGGTTTTTAAGGGCTATGTTCCTCGTTCCTCAAGTTTGAATGAGTTTATTGGCAGGTTGGGGCGGGATGGGAAGTTTGAACTGTTGTGGAAGGTTTTGAGTGGATTGGGGAGAGAGGGGTTTTGCAGTGAGGATGTGTGGAGAACTGTGGTTTCATTGGTTTGTAAGTCGGAGAAGATGTTGGGGGCTTTTGAGGTTTTTGATGCCTTGGTGTTGGTATGAATTGTAGATTTGGTTTTTCATCAAATGCACTAGGTGAGATTTGTTTGGTTGTGTGCAGAACTTGTTGACTAAAGATCATTAATTTTTCAGCAATGGTCCTGAGGTTGACCAACCAAAATGCTCGCTACAGAATATTTTTGGTAAAGAGCACAATTATTCTTTACGGGAGACAATCATGTTTGAGTTGGGTAGCTGTATAGTTGGTGACGAGCTTTTGCATTTGAAATTCTTATTTAAAAACATCAAAGTGCTGTTTAATCCTTGTTCCTTCCACAATGCATGTTTTCATGGACGAGCCACACATCTCCAAATCTAGCCAAGCAATACATTAAGCACATGATAGGGAATTTGTATTATGAGGTGCTTAAGTCCCACATCGGGAAGGGTTTTCCTGGTGCTTAGGTGCTTATCAATTGGTATTAGAGATGGTTGTTGGTGTTTTAGAAATGGTTACCTATGGAGGGGCTAACTGGAAAGGTTGGGTGAAGTATCATAGAGTGTGCGACTAGAGGTAAATTTGTAGTCCACAAAGTTGAGATGAATATCCAATGAAGAGTAATTGTTTGGACAATCCTTTTGTTGAAGGAGATATATGCCAATTACAAGCCTTCTAATGCCTCTCTTCCTAAAAGAAAGTCCTCATGTCTGCTACTATAGCTCCCAACTCTACCACTTGCGGATGCTCTTCCAAACCAGGGAGGTAAGTAGCTTCAGTGCAAATTATTCTGACTTTTGCTTTATACTTTTAATCCAAATCCAATAGTATTTGTTGATTTGATTTCTATTGAACAAAATGGCTGAGGTGGAGCTAATTGTAATTTAACTTAAATCATTTATGTTCTTATGATTTTACTTTTTCTTGATATTATAATGGAATTTTTCGTTGTTCAATTTTAAGTGATTGTTATGTTACTTGACTGTGTGGTTAGTTGATTCATGCTGTAAGCCTGTTCTTAAAATGTAAATTTTCATTTAAACTGCTTAGAAAATGAATGAAAGGTTATTATTTTATTTTCTTTGTGCCTTATTGATATGATTTGAATGAAAAATAAAATTATTCCCAGATGATAGAAACATTCACTATTTTGTTGACTTGTCATTGTTAGTATCTTTCTTATTGTTGGTGATTTTATTTGTTTGATAAATTCAACTCAATATGTTTCAAATATTAAAAACTTTTAGTACACTAGTTAAAAGTTAAGAGATTATCTATAAGGTTGTCCTAGACATGGTTGAATCAAAGATAGTTCTTCTGTGATTGAAACCCAAATCCCAAGACAATTAGGCCCAAACCCAAAATAGTGTATGTTAGAAAGAAAAATAAGGGCAACACGGGATCAAAGATAGTTTGTGCTGTTGAACAAGACCCTTCTTTTATTGAAAATCAAAACAGCTGGAAAATACAGATGCAATCACCATAGTTAATATTCCTCCAGAGTTCAAGAAATGGGAAGGAACACATCCTTCAACCTCAACAAGATCTTTGGACATCTGCATATTTCTAGGATTTATATATTTTTTAATGCAAAGATTTTCTTTGATTTGCTGTCACTTATTATAAGATTTTCTGACTGCTATAATGTTTGTATGTATGCTCATGATCGAACATGATCAGCAAATAATTACACAATGATATGATCTGCTTGAAATTTTCATTTGTGATTCATGCTAAGTTAGCTCCTAACATGTCCCTTCTTTAGCCAAGCCTAATGTTAAAATTTGCAATAGTTTACTGGAAATTTTCTTAGAAAAAAATATATTCTCAGAAAAATCTAGGTGTAAATTATTTGGATTCCAATCTGATAGTGTAACTGTAGTAAATTTATTTGGAATATGAAAGTAAAATTATGAGAGCGACAAATCTGATGACAGTTGATGTCTCAATCATTGAACTTCCTTATACATTTTTTAATCTGTATGTCATTATTTTTCAACATGTAGATGCATCATCTCGACTCTTGAGCTAAAACTTATATATGGGCTTGTACAGGTAAATTTTTTATCAAGATCTTACACTAGAACGGATGTCTGTTACTCAATACTTCATACAGAAGATGCATTAGTAAATTATAGTATACTTTTTTGTGCTCTATTCTATAGTTGCTAATAAGAATCCAATTTTCAAGCATAAAGATCTACGATAAATTAATATGTAAACTGAAACATGATACCTAAGAATTTGAGAGGATCTTTAATGACTATTATTCAGCAATAAAAATAAGCTAGAACAGTTACAAAAATCAAAGACCATACTAGTGCATGTTTGATTTTGAATTTTGTTATGCCATTCAAGTCAAATGGAAGCTTTTCCTTGTAGCTTCTCGTTTATTTAAGATTTGGATGTGAAAAAAGTATGTGACACGCACGCCGATTTAGTGTTATGGATTTTCAACCAGAATACTTTATTATTTTAAATCGTTTATTCCCCAAGTATAAATATATTTATGGATTTAGGTCCTCTTAGTTTAGGTAAGAAACATCACAATGTCATGTTACGAGAGAAAAATATTCAATATAATTAAAGTAAAATCTAGCATTACTTGTGTGTGTGAAGATCATTAATTTAATCTGTGTTTTTATATTATAACATGACATTGTCATGTTGTTAACATAAAAGTTTCCTGATCTTTAGTGTGTTGAAATGATGAACCACCGCCCAAAGCAAAGAGCAAATTAAGTTCTAGCTACTCTTAAAAAGAGTAATCCAAGAAGTTTGATGAAAGTTTGTTTAGGAACTGTGACTTCTATTGTGAAAGGTGATATCAAATCAACCTAAGTCAATGCTCTAAAAATGAGGTTGAAAGGGAACAAATGAAGGAGTCCATATGCTTCAGCTATGGAAAGCTTTGTGCTCAGTTTATAAGACCTGACATTGTATATGTTAAGATGCTTAGGTGATATTAGCATGATTAAGGCTTAGATCTCAAGAGCTGTGAAAAAAGGGATGATGTACTTTCAAGGATAAGCATTATAAGCTAATCTAAAAGGGACTCCCTAAACTAAATGAGGTTGGTTATATTTTGAAATTATTGTTTACTTGGATCTAGATTTGTTGGGTTATACTATATTGTACTCTTCTGTTCTTTATTATTAAAAAAAAACTGATTTATTGTATATTAAAAAAAAATAATTATTTGTATTAAATTTTACTAATTTTATAATATTATTTAGTATTTTTATTATAAATTTTAAAAGAAGTAATACAATCGAAAAGTCATGCAATAAATGAAGAATATTTTAAGAAAAATATCGATAATTAAAATAAAAGCAGTTGAAATTTATTTATATTTAAAAATAAAAAACATGTTTTTATTTTATTTTAAGGAGTACTAATAGAAAACAGGGGGCGTAGAACTTTGAGTTGAGACTTTTCATGTTGTGTAACAAAGTTGTTTTGTGGAGAAGTGTCCATCTCTCATTACTTGTCACATTTATTAAGAAAGCTAAGCTGGTTTCTTGATTTGAGGAGACAAACATAATTAAAACCGAGTTTGGTTTCAATGAACGGTTCTATATCCTAGTGAAATAAAATTCTTGGTTAGATTTTGGATAATATGTTTATATAAAAAAAAAAAACTTACAAAATGGAGGGTCATGACATGAAAGTTGAATTTCACATAGTACAAGTATATAGGCAAATCATAAACTTTTTGAAGTAGAAGGAGGAGGAAACCTTGTCACCTATGCATCTACGTGGCATCCACGTCGTCCACATTTAACACCGTTTGTAGAATTTGGACGGAAGTCCCACATTGATGTGTTTTTAAATTATTGATGACTAAATTGAAACAAAAATAAAGTGGGACCAAATTGAAATTTTAATTATGAGGGACCAAATTAGGCATTTAGCCTATTTAGTATTATTTTTCTTTTGTATGTCTAATTAGCTGTCCTAGTCTCTCAGCAGTCCTAGGCTCTTAGTCTTTTTCAGCCTATGTTGTATGTTTTTATATACTCAATCTAGTAATGAAGAAAGTGAGTGAGACACTTTTCAAGAACCATCTTAAATTTAAGTTGGTATAAGAGCGGGTCCGATCCCGCTCTGTCGTTCGCCGTCTTTTGCCACCGGCCACCGTTTGCTACCGTTTGTCGGCAACCAAATTCTCTAGGGAACTTAGGGTTTGGTGTGCCTCGTTGAGCGCGACCGAACCCTGTTGGTTTTGAGCATATATCAAAGTCTCCACGCGTTCCCATGCGCCGCTCCAAGTGTCTGCTGTGGAAGAACTAAAATTATTTCTTGATGAGTCATTGGAAGGAATGAAGAAAAAACTTGATAGGCTATATATGGTGATGATTTTACGAACATTGCATTTAGACTTTAATCATGTTCGTGATCAACTCCTGACCGGTCATGAAATTCCCTCAATGGACAACCTAGTTACTAGACTACTCCAAGTTCCAACTAAAGCCAAGAGCGAAAATTCTACTGCCATTGTTGAAGCTTCTGCTATGGTCTCTTCCAGGGTAAGAGGTGGTTGTGGAAACCGAGGAAGAGGGGGTAGAAGTGGTCATCCTCAATGTTCCTACTGCAAAAGGATGGGTCATACTCAAGAGAATTGTTACTTTCTCCATGGTTTTCCAGACAGCAAAACTGTCCAAGTCTGATCAATCAGAAAAGGTTGATAGGAAGATTCCTGAAAATGATTATCATGAATATCTTCAATGGAAAGCTATGAGTCAAGCTCAATCTTCCTCTACCCCTACTATTTCTACAGCCTGTATTTCTCAATTAACTGCAAGTCAAAGTCCATGGATCATTGATTCAGGTGCCTCTGATTACATACTAGTAATGATTCTCTATTCTCTTCCATGTCCTCTCTTAAATCACCCCATCTTATTACCTTAGCAGATGGATCCAAATTCACTTTCTCCTATGTTAAATTTAAAATCTGTTTTATTTGTCCCTAATTTTCCTTTCAATTTAATCTCTTTAAGTCAATTAACTAAATCCCTAAATTGTTCAGTAACTTTTAATGCTGAATCTTGTGTCATTTAGGAACGTGGTACGGGCAGGATGATTGGCGTAGGACATGAATTTGGTGGTCTTTACTATTTTGGAATGCAACCATCTGCATCTTGTGTTGCTGTTTTGCCACCCAAGCTTTTGCATGGTCGTTTGGGTCATCCAAGTTTATCCAAGTTGAAACTCTTAGTTCCTAGTCTCAAAACATTGGAGGAGTTGGGTTGAGTCCTGTCAACTAGGCAAACATGTTAGATCATCCTTTCCCAAACAAACTGAAAAAAGATGTATATCGGTTTTTACCATCATTCACTCTAACATTTGGGATCCAAGTCGTGTAACATCTTTTGGTTTCAGATATTTTGTAACCTTTATTAATGAATTTTCTCGATGTACTTGGGTGTACTTAATGAAAGATCGTTCTGAACTTTTGTCTATATTTGTTTCTTTCTTTAATGAAATTAAGAACCAATTTGGAAAATTAATCAAAATTTTTAGAAGTGACAATGCCAAAAAATATTTCTCCTTTGAATTATCTTCCTTTTTATCCTCACAAGGTGTTTTACATCTGTCTACATGTCCACACACACCCCAACAAAATGGAATAGCAGAAAGGAAAAATGGACACCTTGTAGAAATTGCACGCACCCTGATGCTCAATGCAAATGTTCCTGTACATCATTGGGGTGATGCAATTCTTACAGCCTGTTTTCTAATAAACAGAATGCCATCTTCTCTTGAGAATAAAATTCCTTACTCAATTATCTTTCCAAAGGAACCCTTGTTTCATGTCTCACCTAGAGTCTTTGGGTGTACATGTTTTGTCCATGATGTCTCTCCTGGTTTGAATAAGTTATCGGCTAGAGCTAAGAGCTATCAAATGTGTTTTTCTAGGCTATTCTCGTCTCCAGAAAGGGTACAAGTGTTACTCTTTTCTTCTCTTCTCTCTATAACTAACTCTTTCCTCCTCCTCTATTTCTTGCCTACTGTAACTCTAAGTGGGCCCTGGACAGTTGGGACTACGGGTACCCCATGTTGGATTGTGTCCTGATTCCATAGAAATTGGATGAAGGATTTTAAGTTTTGACACGATAATTCTTTAAAGATACAGAAAGGGTCGCTGTGCTAATGTTACGAAGTTACTACATCCGGTAAATGTTTATAGAAGTTTATATTTGTTTGATTTGGCTCAACCTGAAGAAATAAATTGACTTTCTCATTACTAGTAGAAAAAAAAGGCATTTTGTGCCTTCGAGAGAAATAATTTTTTCTTTTTAGTTAAATGATGTGTAATTTTCTTTTGGTAGTGTACAATTATTTTTATGGTTGTTGATTAAAGGGTAAAATTGGAACAAACTGTTGACATAAAAAAGGGGTATTCTTTTTATTACCAGTATAGATTATGTATTTTTAATTTTTAATTTTTTTTGCCTGTTACTCGCAATCCTAGCTCAGATTTAGTTTTCTTTTTAAGAAAATCCTGTTGTCACTTATTGAATACATCCTTTTGTCATCTTGAACTTGAAGCAATACCTATTTTTAAAGATTGATATATGTGATGGTTTTCCTTCATAACCATGTTAAGAACATAAAACTTAGCCCCAAGTGAGATGAAGTATATTTATCTTATCATTTATTTTCTTAAAACTGCTGGAGATAATTTTCCAGTTCTTTAGAGTCAGTCTAACTTAGCTTTGAAATTTTATTCCTGTTATGGTCTTTCACAACCAAATTATATACATACATATATATATATATATATATATGTGTGTAAAACAGAATGGCATACCAAACGCAGTACAATGACTACAGTCATTGGCCAGCTGATTAGAAATGTTAAAGAAATATCCATCAACTCAAACAGTTATGTAAATAACACGGAACAGGCGTCACAAATTCCAACTTCAAATCAAATTAATCATTAAATGATTTTATGACAAGGCATAAAAGATTTTACATACTTATTAGATTTGTCAAATAAATGCTTGAGCTGTTAAAATACTTTAACAACCCTTTCTATGTCAGAAATGGTACAAAATGGAATAGTAAGCTTATTATAAATATCCTCAACAGTCAACACTTGGTATAACAACATATCAATAATCCAAGCCACAAAAGACCAAACAGTAGACTTATAGCTTATTTTGCATACATAGATCTTTAGAAAATTGAGGAAAGATTTCTATCATACAAAAAAGAAACTAGAACATGTTACCATAAAGTGACCATAGCAGCCACAGAAAAAGCATCTAAAATTAGATTATAAAAATTCAAAAATCTTCAAAAGGAGTTGGAACCTGAATCCCACAAAATCTGTTGAAGAATAAGCCCTGAGAAAATTGGCAGGGTCATCCACCAATAAAAATAAATAAACACCATCAATACCAACTGACTTGAATGCTTCATTGAACAATTTGGGTGATTTACTGTGACCAACAGGCTTTCCAATAAGCCCATATACTTTAGTATCAGGCCCCAGTTGTCTCAAATTGTATAGATACAATAGATCCTTAAGCGTAGGTTGACCAGGAGCTGAAACTACTCCTGACTCAAGGGTACCAAAAGTGAGATATCCACCAAATTTTGCACAAAGTATACGAGAAATCAATCCCCTATCACCCATAACAAGTCCAATAAAAGGAACCTGGAAATAAAAACAATAGTTATGGTAAAATTATTCATTCTCATACAGAAAGCCTCAATATAGTAACAATAAATTTCAGTGTTACCAATCAAAACATAACTAGAACCAGAGGGTTATTTCTTGAAGGGTCATGTGACTTGAAATTAACAACATTACGTTTTAAGCATTAACATATGAGATATTCAAATAGTCCAAATGTATTGGAAATAATTGGATAGTTGTATGCAAAGGCAGGGTGTTGCACAAATTCTTTCTACTACCATCATTACATGGTTTTAAATTGTTGAGAAAAACATTTCACTAAATTTACATTGGTTGCCATTGCATTGGCCCCTATTTCTTCAAAGTTCAGATATGCACCTTGACAACAATTTTGACCTGTCTTCCTCAATTGATCTTCCTATCAATTTCGTCTTCACCATACACTAATTAAATTTGCTAATGTATAAGGTCAATAGTTTATAAAAATTAAAAGACAAAGTGTATATGGAGTTAAAATTTTGTTCGAAGTTTCAATTACCAAACATACACGCCTTACTTGAGAATGCACCTATATATATATATATATATATATATATATACCTCTTGACCCTAAGTAAGAACTATCTTCATGTGGTATTGGTGCTACAGCTGCACCATGCTACGTTCATGATCAGGTTTGTTGCTGGTTGGTATTATAAGTTTAATGGAAGACTGATTTCTTTAATACAAATTGTAAACTCCCATTCATGCCCTTGTAAAGTTTTTTTAATCCCAAAATTGAATTAAGGTGGCTATTTTTGTTTGATCGGTGTTAGTTTGTGCTGATGAACAAGACCCTTCTTTTATTGAAAGTCAAAACAGCGGGAAAATACAGATGCAACTACCATAGTTAATATTCTTCCAGAGTTCAGGAAATGGGAAGGGACACATCCTTCAACCTCAACAAGATCTTTGGACATCTGCATATTTCTAGGATTTATATATTTTTTAATCCAAAGGTTTTCTTTGATTTGCTGCCACTTATTATAAGATTTTCTGACTGCTATAATGTTTGTATGTATGCTTATGATCGAACAAGATCAGCAAATATTTACACTGTGGTATGATCTGCTCCTAACTCGCCCCTCCTTTCTTTAGCCAAGCTCAACGTTAAAATTTGCAAAAGTTTAGTTGAAACTATCATAGAAAAACCTGGGTGTAAATTATTTGGAGTCCAATCAGGCGGTGTAACTGTAGCAAATTCATTTGGAATATGACAGTAAAATTATGAGAGTGGCAATGGTGATGACAGTAGTTGTCTCAATCATTGAACTTATACATTTTTTAATCTGTATGTCATTATTCTTCAACATGTAGATGAATCATCTTGACTCTTGAGCTAGATCTTATATATGGGTTTGCACAGGGGCAACTTTTATCAAGATCTTACACTAGAACGGATGTCTATTACACAATGCTTCATAGAAAATGCATTAGTAAATTATAGCATACATTTTTGTGCTCGTTTCTTGGCTACTATTTACTAATAAGAATCCAATTTCCAAGCATAAAGATCTACGATAAATTAATATGTAAACTGAAACATGCTACCTAAGAATTTGAAAGGATCTTTGATGACTATTATTCAGTAATAAAAATAAGCTAGAACAATTACAAAATCCGAGGGGGGTATTAGTGCATCTTTGGTTTGAATTTTGTGATGCCATTCTCAAGTCAGAAGAAAACTTTTCCTTGTAGCTTCTCTGTTGATTTAAGATTTGGATGTGGAAAAAAGTATGCGAGGCTTGTGTAGAACGCCCATTTAGTGTTATGGATTCACTCAATCCCAATACTTTATTATTTTGAATCGTCTATTCCCCAAGTATAATTATATTTATGGTTTAGATCCTCTTAGTTTAGGCAAGAAACATCACAATGTCATGTTATAAGAGAAAAATATTCAAAATAATTAAGGTAAAATCAATCATTACTTGTGTGTGAAGATCATTAAATCAATCTGTGTTTTTATGTTATAGCATGACATCGTCATGTTCCTTGATAAGTATTAACATAATAGTATCCTGATCTTCATAGTGTGTGTGCTGAAATGACGAACCACAGCCCAAAGCAAAGAACAAATTAAGTTCTAGCTAATCTTAAAAAGTGTTACTCTTTTCTTCTCCTCTCTCTCTAACTAACTCTTTCCCCCT